CTACTAACAGCTGAAATATTCAATGCCGTACTAGCGTATCTTTACTGTATGTATGTATGTGCTGGAGACGGCATTGAGCTGGGTTTTTTTCCTCTTGCAATAGCCTGGATCTGATGCCGACGCAAGAGTGCTATCTCACTGAAACACCATGCCGAGAGAAACCAGCGCAGTATCCAGTCCGGTCACATTATACTGAGAACTGGTAAACCAGTCCTTAACCCTACCATTTAAAGCTGGACGTTCAGCAGAAACCAGCAAATACCAATTCTAAGGAATACGGGTTTGTCTCGATCAGGGGACCAAACCCATAACTTTCCTTTGGCGAACGTTCAACACCAAAGCTAAATGCGAGAGTATTGCCAAGTGAGGTGTTAAGAAAGGGGGAAAAAACATATAGAAAGGGGAGAAATATGAAGATTCCAAATGTTGGCATGGGTGCAAAAGCTAATCCCCAATGCTGCAGTGGACTCCTACTTGCGTAACCTCTCACAAAATGCAATAACATCGGGTAATTCTGAATCCCAGACCAACAGGGGTAGGAATCAATCCCTTTGTCATGTATTTTAACACCCAACAGGATACCTTTTGATAAGATTTTGGTACCCACTGACCATTACTGTCTTTTATCAGAAAACGTATACCCTGTTGGGACTCTTACGAACAAAACATATTTCAAGAACACTGTCGTGGTCCTTGAACTTCCATGTCAGCTTGAATATTGGTACTATTGATGAAGTTTTATTCCGTTGCTTGTTTTAGAAAATGCCTCTGCCTTGTATGTCTTTGTTGGAATTCTGACTGATTTAGATGACGTGCTTCTTCGGCTAGGTCGAATCGTTTCGTGACATTTTCAACAACACGAGTCGGTGTTGAAGGCATCAATCCATATACACTGGTATCCTTTTCTGTGTGGATTTCTTTGGTACCATGTTTCAATATATGTTTGCTTTGTACCAATTTTCGGTGCTAACTTAGAATAGGGTTGTCAACACGTCCATACTTGTTATCAAGGTTTCAGTGAAGAAATGAGGACTGGCATGTGCCAAGTCTACGTGTGTGGTTATTTGGTATGATTTTGTTGACCAAGGATCTGTCTGGTACAAAGGCATCACTGACGAAATGACTTATTTGTACCTGTATTTCATGTGCAGTTTTTATTGGTGTGAATATGTTAAGCACCAGTTTTCAGTGTTCGCAAGGTTGGGACCAGTTTTCATTGAAAAATAAGTTTTCAATACGGACTTGTTCAGTACCAGTTTTCAGTAAAAGCTTGTTCAGTACCAGTTTTTCAGTAAGGGCTTGTTCAGTACCAGTTTTCAGTAAGGGCTTGTTCAATACAAGAGGCCCAAAGGCCTTAGCGGTCACCTGAGTTATATCATAGATACTGGTAGCTTTATTTTATTGTTTAGATGTGATGTGGAAATCAGCATGTAAACTAAGTGAAATACAATACTTGTCATGTCATCAATGGATAAGAATTTGAAAATATTGGTAAATGTTCCCTTTGGGGCCCCGCCCTAGCCCCTGGGGATGGGGCAGGAATCCTAATTTTACAAAGTAAAACTCTCATTTACCCAAGATGATTCTGACTAAGTTTGAGCAATTTTCTGCTGAAAATGGATAAAATATATACCGAAAAGTGTTATTTCCCTATATAAACTATAT